TCTCTCTCTCTCTCTCTCTCTCTCTCTCTCTCTCTCTCTCTCTCTCTCTCTCTCTCTCTCTCTCTCTCTCTCTCTCTCTCTCTCTCGCCCCTCCCCGACGCCCAGCAACCTCTTTCTCATGCTCTCTCGCGCGCGCACATCCTCATAGAAGTTGTCTAGAGAACCGTGCACCCTCTTCTCATTCACATCGATGGAGTAAAGATGAAAAGTCGCCAGAGAACCCGTTCACTCACTAACACTCTATATCAAACCAGGGACGTGTCACGACGTCAATGGCTTGCACCGGCGGGTGCTAACGCGGGTGATGATACCGGAGAATGACCCCGGTCACCAGATAGAACATCACCCTCACTCAAGAACCGCGAGGCAGCAGAGCCTCCCACTCCCGCACCTCCGCCTACTCCTTTACCCGACGATCTCACTCCTCCACACGATCCACCTCCTACCCTACCTCCCGCTCCCATTACCCCTCCCCCTCCTATCTCCGCCCCAACGGCCGTACCATCCCCCCAGAGGCGAGTACAGATTGCGGGCACAGTGAAGCCCACCCACATGCAAGCGTAGAGGAAGGTCGAACCAGAGATCAACTTTCCAAGAATGGATAGCGCATAGAGAATGACGACAACTTTCAAAAACAATCTTATGTCCGACCCACTGGCAGCCACGCGTAACACGGCTTCCGCTGCACCCAAGAGATTGACCGCGAACGCCACCAGGCAGTTGGCAGACTGAGTGGAAATCTCCCACTTGCGACTTAGTTCGACGGCCCATCCAGGTGCAGCAACAGCTGCCAGATGATACACTCCCACAGACACGCATGAGAGGATGAGAAACGCATCAGCTAGGAAAGCGATCATTGGTCGTAGACGAAACTGCGCGTGATAATAGAGAATGCTGCCGCAAAGTATGGCCAGAATGGTTCTTGATGGTCGCCGCCAAAGCAGTATCTCAGTTATGCTGCGCGCCAAATCACTGTTGTAAGCTCCGCAATCGCATTCTAGGAGGAACAACATACGAGCGGAACCCGGGGATGGAGAAGGCTGATAGGCGGGAGACAATGCTGATGTGGTGGAAATGGATAGGCGGGAACGAGGACGGGGCGCAGATAGACAAGAAGGAGGAGCTCGAAAAAGAGGGGGAGGAGGAGAACGGGGAAAAGAAGAAGACGACGTAGATGGTGCAGACGATGGCTGGGGAAAAGAAAACTCAGCAGGCAGACTGCTGCTGCCATCGTTGATGACGCTGGGTTCACGCGTAATGATTCCTACAGACCCACCCTCCTCATGCACCCCCATGACCGACTCATTACCCGCGTCGTCTCAAACCTCCCTCGCATAATACAGTAAGTTCCGTTCGCCTTCCCTGCGCCTTTATTGCCAATTAATCCCTTCGGCTTGCCCTCGACTTTAAGCGGCGGTGTGGGATCCTTCGTCGAGCTGCACGATTGGTCGATCGGAGTGCTTGCTTCCTCCTCACCCCCGCAACTTCTCGCTTCTCGCCGCCCTTGCCTCCCTCCTCCTACCGTCTTCCCCCGAACATAACGCACCCTTAAAATGAATGTACACAAGTTGTATTTCCGGCCAGATACTGCCAAAATGAGGGTGCGTTGTGCTCGGGGAAGACGGTAGGAGTGCTTGTTCATCCTCACCGAGCTAACTCTGCCTGTAGCTGAACGAGGGACACGATCGTTGGCCCTCCATCCCTCACTTCAGAGGGGGTAGGGGATGGACATTCGTCCGCGCGCGCGGCAAGTCCCGCCCCGTGTAACAGGACCCCCGCGCGGCGAACTTCCGCCTACAGGCGCATTCGTCTTGAGGTTGGAGAGGCCACGTGCTGTCCGATCAAAACCGCGAGCGTTGCCCGTTACGCTTGTGCGGGAAAAGTTTCGACAGCGTCCTTCGGGACATCTGTTAAAATTGGAACGATACAGAGACGGGTAAATTAACAAATCGCCCCTGCGCTTTTAAGGATGACAAGCATAAATCGAGAAATGGTCAAGAAAAAAAAGAAAAAAAAAAAGTTTCGAAACCCTGCGAGAAGCCGGGGACCGTAGGGAGCTTGCAGATCGACCAGAACCACGCCCATTGCGGGGGGAAGGACGACGAGAACGCTGCTGCTGCCAATTGGGAGGGGTGCGGTAGGTCCCCGGGGCAAGGTCCCACTTACACGAATTAAGAGATATTGACCGTAGATAGCACAGATCAACGGTCAGAATCTCCTGTGGCACAACCTCCTCCCCAACCCATTTGTCATCTGCGGCACTTCCTGCACCCGAGGGCCTGCCTTGGACGACCTTCCTCTTCTTGTTGGCGCTCTGTCGGCCCTTTCTCCTGCACTGCCGCTTCCATTGCCTGGTTGGTGGTGTTCTTGCCGCGTCCAGCGTCGAGGCACGACATGGCGCACAACACAACCGCTCGCCGACTGACCAGTCGCAAATCTGAAAAGCACAGTTCGCAATCCACGTCAACGATGACGATGACAACGATGCCGACGACGCCGACGACAGTGGCAGCGATGACGATGCCGCCGCCGCCGCCGACGACGACGATGCCGACGATGGCGATGCAGAAGAGAAGCACGCGACGTGGATGACGGTCACGAACGCGCTGAAGACGGCGATGACGGCGACGAAGATGATGGCCGCGGTGTCGTTGACGATGCCGATGATGGCAACGAAGATAACGATAAAGGTGCTGCAGACGAAAAGGCGAGATGGCAACGATGGCAGTGATGGCGATGTCGTGTCAGCAACGTTCCTCGACGACCACTTGCACGTTTCGTAGTGAGATTAGAGCGGTCAACTGCACGCAGGCGACAACCCCGCTGTAAGGCTTGGATAGTCGAGGGTGGTGGAGTGCAGCGCGTGACTACTTTCGTTTCACGGAAAAAGTGATGCGCGGGCAGGAGGCAGGAGCAGGCGAACGCGAGTGCGAGATGGCGAGAAGGCTGGCTGTGAAGTCTGAAGCGGGTGTGTGGAGTCCCGTAGTGGATTTGACGAGGACGCCCGCATCCTCTCAAATACGTGCGCGGCGGTGTGCATCCGTCGACCGCTACCTTTCTTGTCGCCCCCCTTGGTGAACGGTGGAGAGGGATGGGCCCCTGCGTGGCAGCACGACAGGACCAACCGCTAAGCCACGCGATGACAGTGGACACCCCCACCCACACACCCCCAATCTATCCCCAAACCACCCGCCGCCTCCAGCCCACAAAAATTTCTCCCCCCCCCCCCCCCCCCAAAAAACCCACCCAGCA